CTGTAAAGACGGCACTGACATATTATCATCTTATGAAGTTGATCAAGTTAATGTGTTAGCAAACAGTGGCTTAATTACACATTGAACAGACAAAGAGCAACATTAGAATTCATTTGGAATCTTGTTTGTTTCCAGCCAACATGTTCTCACTTCCAAATCGTCAAAAACAGTTTTGCATGCCAGGGCTCTGTGGTCAAGTTAGGAACAACTGATACGCAACATCCAGTGAGACTTTGGTTAGGTTTAGGTTAAATAACCTAACTTGCCTAACATTTCTACTGTACCATTTCCACGTAATTTCTCTGCTTTACAAACAAAAACAACAAACTACACCAATGGTGAATTGCATTAAATTATGGGTCAGGGACTGGTAATAAACACAAGTGAGTGAGATTCTATAGAAACGCACATGTTGCTTTGATTCTTATATATCTTAACTACAATACTAAAAGGTCATAGCAGTTTTTTGGTATTGCAGCATTGTCTCGGCTGATTATTTGCATCATTTTATGTATAAAATGTACAAGTACCACATTATAAGTCTGTTTTGTGTTATTTGTGATTTTTATGTTCTACTAGCCTATTTTCAGCAACATAATGAAGTTCTGTTCTATTCTGAGTGTGGCGCAGGTGGCAGGATCAAACACAACGTGTATGGTCGACAAAGCCCTGAGAGTCTAGCATTTCATGACCTAGCATGAGTTCCTTCTCTTCACAGACTCTGGGATTGCCAGATTTCACTGTCCAGCATCTGTGACAGTGTGTCCCTTATATTCTCCTTTTAACTGCTTCCTCAGATCCTCTTTTAGGTTGTGCTCCTGTGTACTTCTGAGATCAAACTGTCTTTTGAAGTGGGAGTCTCTCTCTTCTCTCTGTCTAGTCTTGAGATGAAAGAGGAGCACGGGGTGACACAGAGCGGCCTCTGCAGACGGAGGTAGCCATGGGGTCTCTCTTTTTTCCCTCTCTTTCTCTTTCCCTGCCAAAATCCCCCAGCAGTGATAGAAACCAGAGGAGGACAAAAGGCAGCGGAGCACTGCGGCCCTCCGGCCCGTGTAGTCTCTCTGCCTAATTGAAAATGGCTTTGCTCTCTTCCCTAGCTCACTTATGCGGCTGCTTTCCTCCTTCTCTCTCTCTCTTTCTGTACACCCCTCCCACGGGATGACCCTCCCTCCTTCCTCCCCTCTCTCTCTCGGCACTGGACCGTGCTGATCTTGGGACATCCCCAGTATTTTTTGGCCTTTGAAGGCAAATATAATTGAGTGGTAATATGAGACGTATTCTCTTTTTCCTCTGCATGCCTTGTTCAATGGGTTATGGAATATTGAAGTTCAAAGTAGGTGCGGTGAACGTGTTATTTTTTCTTTCTCTTCCCCCTTCACGGTGATTGCAGTGTGAAAGGAATTTAGTGAAATGAGGAGTTGAGGAGATTTTATTTGGATGGAAACTCCGGCCCATGGCTTACCTTGACCCAGCTCGGCTTGAGATTTGAACAAACAGCCCCAAAACCTATAAGACAGGTTTCACCCTCCAATGAAAGCAAATTATGGAATAGATGAGCTGGTAATCAAATTCTTCCCCAACTAAGAGAGCAGGCCAGAGTGTAATGAAATGGAGTTTTATTATTTACAACAGAGCTACAGTGCAGAGGGTGTGCGTGAATATCATTTACAATCATTTCCATCCATCTGCACAACAGGAGCCTCACTCTCTGTGTTTCTCATCACTTCAACAAGCAGACATGTTCCAGGTTGATCTTTCCACATGATAATAAATACAGTGCAATAAGGCAATGTTTCTATTTACAACTTTTATAAAACTGTACAGGAGAACAGACAGATATGTATCAAGGTATGTCACAAAATGAGAGTGCCTTTAAAATACAACCACTTTATTTAATGTAAGATAAATTTAAATTAAAAATGTTTAAACACAGCAAAAATATGAAAATATATACTAGTGCAGATAGAGAAAGGCTTTCCACTTTCCCCTTCCCTTTTTCACCCCTCCTCTAGACGACGTGCATTCGTCTAACAATGGGAAGCCTTTCATAAAGTAGCTACATAGCTAGAGTTATTTTCTATTTTCTACATCCTACATGCCTCAGCATCAGATAAATACTTATAGTATGGGAACAAAGTGAGAGCATTGTCTTTTTTATTTCAAACGTGTGCTCTCAGTAGTAGGCGGATATTTCCAAACCTTTCACAGAGAATTAGTGCGCCTGTTCCTCAAAGCTTACAGTTTAAATTCTGCACATTTTCCAGTGTTTCTTTTCATTAGTCCCTCACAGTGAGTAATCTCCCCTTACCAGGAATTCAGCACTTAATTAGCTCTGGAGAAAAAAAATAATCAGAGCTCTAATGGGGCAAATTTATTTCAAATTGCACACAGCAGTGTGAGCCCCCTGAAGAGGGTAATAGAGGATATTGGCAGGGTCTTGGTGATGGTGTGAGTAGTGGAGCTACTAAAAGTGTTGATATCAATATATAATAAAGTCTCCCAGTGAAAATCTTGGAGGAAACTTAAAGACCACGCCATAACTTCTGACTGTTTTCCTGTAACACACCGGGCCTGTCACAGACAGTTTGGCTATTTTTATTAGCTTCAACATATTTGTAAATCAGCACCATGTGCACCAGACACATCTATTTAACTCCATTTCTTTTACTCCTTTTACTCCAGCCTTCCGGTCCCTAACGCAGGGCAAAGTCAACAGATAATCTGCCCTTCCCTCCTCGTGTTATTCGATCACTACTAACAAACACCCGGCGCAGCCTAAGTACAGTTAGGCTAGATGGATATGTGGCTATGGAAATAACCCTGTTGTGTACTGGGTGTGGATGGTGCCAAGATAATCAGAAGGATTTGAGGAATGCCTCTGCCATGGCTGGACTCTCAGTTTTTCTCTGTGTCTTTGGGGAGCTTGAGTGCTTTGATTGCATTACAACTTCATTACTGGGTTAGTTAGCTTTGGAATAATATTTGGAGTAGGGGAATGCAGCTCAGTGACAGGCCACACATAAATTAACATTATCTGAGTAGTGTGATTATGAGGCTAATGTTGTGAAATAAATTCATGCAGCGTGTTGCTGCTTGAATGACTGTGTGCTTCAGGGGAAGACTGAGGGCCCACAATGCTGGTGTAGAAGAGAAAGCTAGATTTAGAACAAGAAAAAAGACTCAAAGACAATCATCCGAAGAAAGAGGTCAGTCAGCCATCTTTCTACACCTTGAATCCCACTCTCAGTGGTACTCTTGCCCTCATGTCCCAGAGCAATGCAGTGCTAAGTGGACAATTAAAAGTTGTTCTCTTCTCAGTGGTCAAAAGTCAATGTTCAAAATTTGGGACTGCAAATGGAAGAGATGGAGGAGGTTTGGAAGACCGAATCCCTTTATTATTTGCATGCTGGCCGCCATGTAGGGGGGCTAGGCTGTTTATGTGAACTCCTGGTCGTTTACTTCTCCTTTGGTGACGGCGTCATCATACCCAGTGTGACCATTGCTGTGACATCAGGGCCCCTCGTCGATGCTGACACCCATGCACTTCTGAATGGTCACCCTGCGGATGGAAGGCTTGGACGTCAGCTCCGGTTTGGGTGGAAACTGCTCCATCAGGATCTGCAAGACAGAGTCCATTTTCTGGTCCATCTGATGGACCTGGATTTAACACGATGACAAAAGACAAACAGGTTAGGTCAGCTGAGTGTCTCCGGGATAAACACAGATAAGTATAGTGTAGAGCTGCATTATGAAACAAACAAAGAATGTCATTGAGTTTGTTCTTTTGTTTTCTATCCATCTGTCTCTTTAATATAGTTGCGATCCCAATGACAGAGCAGTGCGGCATATAATGACATGTTAGTCTGCCAGTCGCCGTCTACCTGCTAAAGCCACTCATTACAAAAGCTGTTGAGCTATATGATCCCGGAGGGGGCGAACAGACACACACACACACACACATACAGGCCGCTGCTGTTTACATGCTTTTCCAACTGTAAACACAGGTGTGTCACCCAACGGAGACATCTCTGACAGGGCACAGTCAGCCTAACCCTGGTGTGAATACAGATGAATGGCCCCATCTGAGTGATAGAGGTAAACAGACAACAGACTGCCTGGTGACATGCAAATACAGTGAGGACATTGCACAAGTACACATCAAGACAACACTCATGTACACACTCGCGACCACAAAAACGTAGTCACGCAGCTTGTTGCACACTCTTTTGTGACTTCAAAGAGGTTTTCTGTCTTCACAGCCTTGGCCTTGGTTTTACCTCTGTACTTATTTGTTCCCTCATGAAGTACTTACACCGCACACACACACACACACACACACACACACACACACTCACACACACTCACACTCACACACACCACACACACACACACAGACACACTCACACACATACACACACACAGGCACAGATACACACACACAAACAGACACACTCCATGGCAGGAGGCATTCCTCAAATCCTTTCTGATAATCTTGGCACCATCCCACACCCAGTAACACAACAGGGTTATTTCCATAGCCTACATATCATGCTAGCCATAGAGTGTACTTAGCTGGCGCCGGGTGTTTGTTAGTAGTGATCGATAACCACGGAGGAGGGGAAGGGCCAAGATTATCTGTTGACTTTGCCCTGCGTTATGGGACCGGAAGGCTGGAAGAAAATTAGAGTAAAAGAACATGGGAGTTAAAATAGATGTGTCTGGTGCACATGGTGCTCGATTTAACAAATATGGGTTGAAGCTAATTAAAAATAGCCAAACTGTCCTGTGACAGGCCCGGCTGTGACCTTACAGGAAAACAGGTCAGAAGTTATGGTTTGGTCTTTAAGTTTCCTCCTAAGATTTTCACTGGGAGACTTTATTATATATTGAATCCAACACTTTAGGTAGCTCCACCTACTCCACACCACACCAAGACCCTGCGAATATCGCTTCTATTACCCTCTTCATGGGGGTCACACTGGCTGTGGTGCAATTTGGAAATAAATTTGCCCCATTAGAGCTCTCCGATTTTATTTTTTTTCCCAGAGCTCAGATTAAGTGTTGTGTATTCTGGATATTAATAGTTTGTGTAATCTCACTGGTGTTGTTCTATAGTATATAATATATGTATAAACTGGAATGTGATTAAATGTTGGATGTGAGTAGGCAATTCCTTGAAAGGTGGAAATATCCGCCTACTACTGAGAGCAGCACGTTGAAAAAAAAAAAGGACAATGCCCTTCACTTTGTTCACCACAACATAATGATAAGTATTTAACTGGGATGCTAGGCATCGCCTACGAGCTGATAGGAAAAAGAAAAACGCAGCTCTAGCCTATGTAGCTACTTTATGAAACGGCTTCCATTGGTTAGACGAAGACAAACGTTCGGTCTAGGAGGAGAGGAGTAGACAAGTGAGGGTTTGAGGGGGAAAGTGGAAAGCCTTTTCTAATCTGCCACTAGTATAATAATTACAAAATTTCTCAGAAGCATGTGTTAAAAAACAAATTTCATTAAATATAATAGAAATTAAATCTTACTTAAAAATAAGAAAGTGGTTGTATTTTAAAAGACCTCTCATTAAAATGTGACATGCAGCACAACAACCAAATATTGAAATAACAATAATCTCGAAGTTCCTACGTTCTCACTCCTGTACAGTCTTACAATATAAAGAAGTCCGTAAATTAGAGGGAGTGGCGCCAAACCTTCGTCTCAGTATTGCCTACACGTCTTTCATCTCATATCATGTGGATAAAGATCAACCTCCCTAAGGAACATGTTCTGACTTGTAGACGTCGCATGAGAAAACACAGACCGAGAGGTGATACAACCGTAGTATGTGACAGATATAAGATATGGAAATGATTGTACAATGATATTCACGCATCAACCCTCTCGCTCGCCATTAGCTCTGTCGTGCAAAAAAATTAATAAAACCAACTACCATTATTCATTAACAACTACATTGGCCGCTCTCTGTAAGTTGGGGGAACAAAAAAAACTCAAAAAAAAAAAAATAGAATTTGATTACCAGCTGCATCTGCATTCATAATTTGCTTCAATATTTATGGAGGGTGAAACCTGTCTTATAGGTTTTGGGGCTGTGTTGTTCAAATCTCAATGCCGACGGGCTGGGTCACAAGCGCTTAAGCTAATGGCCGAGAGTTGTCCGATCCAAATAAAATCTACCCTCAACTCCCCCTCGCTTTCACAAATTCTTTCACCACGCAAATCACCGTGAAGGGAAAGAGAACAAAGAAAAAAATAACAACCGTTCACCGCAGCCTACTTTGAACTTCCAATATTCCACAACCCCCACCCTTGAACAAGGCATGCAGGGAGGGAAAAAGAGAATACGTCTCCATATTACATCAATTATATTTGCCTTCAAAGCCAAAAAATACTGGGGATGGTCCACAGATCAGCACGGGTCCAGTGCCAGAGAGATGAGAGGGGAAGGAAGGAGTGGAGTCAGGTCATTCCCCGTGGGGAAGGCGGCTGTACAGAAAGAGAAGACGACGGAGGGAAGGAGGAAGCAGCCGCATAAGTGAGGTCCAGGCAAGACGACACAACCATTTTTCAATTTAAGGCCCCGCGCCGACCTTCCACACGGGCCCGGACCAAGGGCCCGCAGTGCTCCGAGCCTGCCTCTTATTGTCCCTCCTTCTGGTTTCATATGCACCTAGGCTGGGGATTTTGGCAGACAGAGAGAGGAGGAGGGGAAAAACAAGGAGAGACCCATGGCCCTACCTCCGGTCTGCAGAGCCGCTCTGTGTCCACCCGTCCTCCTCATTCAATCCTCAAGACTGACAAAGAAGAGAAGAAGAAGAGACTCCATTCAAATGACAAGGTTTGATCTCAGAGTACACCAGGAGCCACACTAGAGTGTCTGAGAGCATTAGAGTAGAGGCCCCCTCCATCTCACCCATCCCATCTCTGAATTTCACCCTCTATCTGTAATTCTTTTTACTTCATCTCCTTAAACCTCCTCCATAATCCAAACATAATTCCATCTACTCCACTCATCACCTGACGTAACACATACAAAAACAAACATTATCACTCATCCCAATAAACACAATAATATAAACCATAAAACAAACAAAGAATCTCATGATTCCGACCATCTCCAAAACGACACACTGTCGAATGATGCCTGCAGTGAAATCTGGCAATCCCACGAGTCTATGACGAGGGCAAGGACCTCATGCCTAGGTCATGGACAAATGTATAGCTAATATATCAGGCGTTTTGACTCGAGCCATACCCCCATCCATACACCGTTGTGTCTTGATCCTGCCACCTGCCGCCCAAACCACCACACTCAGAATAATCAACACAAGAGACGTCCATTATAGTTGCCTAAAATAGGCTAATTAAACATCTCACACAAAAATCACCAAAATAAACACAAAACCAGACTTATAAATGTTCAACACGGTAAACATACTTGCGTACCCACATTCATCTATAACACCCTAAAATCGATGCACATACACCATAAAACTCAGCCTCGTACGAGACCCAATGATGCTCCCCAACAAACACATCCAACCAACAAAATCAAACAAAACCTGCCTTCACACAATGACCTCCTTATTAGTCATGTGTAGTCTAATAGAAACTATATAAGAATCCACAAGCAACATGTGGCGTTTCTATAGAATCTCACCAGGCAGCTGACCATAATTTAATGCAATTCACCATTTGGTGTAGTTTTGTCTGTTTTTGTTTGTAAGCAAGAGAAATTACGTGGAAATCGGTCACAGTAGAGAATGTTAAGGCAAGTTAAGTGACATTTATTTTAACCTAAACCAATTACCAATCTCACTCGCCTCGCTCTCCTTCTCCGCCCAGTTGCGTCTCCAGTTATCATAACATGTGACCACAGAGCGCCTGTGATGCCACAAACCAAACCTGTTTTTGACAGATCTTAGACAAGTACGGCAGCACATGTTGGCTGGAAAACAAACAACGAATTCCAAATGACGTGTCTAATGTTGCTCCTTTGTCTGCCTTCAATGTGTAATTAAGCCAACATCGTTTGCCTGAACACCAAATACAGATGCAACTTCATAGAAGACAATCACCAAGAAACACTGAAAGCGATATGTCCAGTGCCGTCCATTTTACGCAGTCGGCCAAAAAGAATTGTAACGGCATTCCAAAGCTCCTGTTTATCCCTGACATCTACAATGTCTAGATCAAACTTATCATGTCTTTGTTGTTTGAGAGAAGACTCCATGTCCACCGTTCCAGTATAAATATTGCTGGTGCCGCGGTCTGTTGTTGCTTTCAACCCCATGTATTAAAGTCTGTTCCCGATCATAACCAGTTTTTGATGCTGCAATTCAGAATGAACTTGCAAAATTTGTGTGACAACTTGCTGAAGTGGAAAAGATTGGGTGTGTCGATAAACGGCAAACACGGCTTCCCACTGAAAAAGTACAAAGAAACTGTGGAGTGATGTGAAGACCTGTAACTTCGTGCTAAAACTCCACATGCGCCATTGAAACAAAAGAGAAATGTCTCTATTTTAATATAATTTGCTCCACCTGTTCTGAGGTGTACTGAATCAGCTCGCCCTTCCCTTCACCTGATGAAATTATGTACATCTTAGTTGCACAACCCCGCCCTTCTTCTGAACACACATC